AGCTAGGCAAAGGGAGTTCACAAATGAAGAAGGTTCATGGACCCACGTCAGAACCTAGGCTTGTGGGGTTGCAAGTGGTGGAGGTTGGAGGACTGTCAGGGAAGGGCAGAAGCTACTTACACAGGAAAAGTGGTTTGCATAGAGAGCTGTGGACCATTATTAATGTCAGTGTTCTAATACTCCTGAGTTATGTAATTTATCGGACTCAGCTTTTTTTTCCTTTTTGTATTTTAAGGTTTTATTGAAAATGAATATTGCTTAGATTACATACAACATGTGAAAAATCAACTTAAAGTGAGAAAATATTTACTTTGGATCCAGGCTTCATTGCACAATAGTGACTCACCTTTTTATTGATAGACATTTAGGTTGTTTTTAGTTGTTTGGATCCAGGTTTTGTGGGGCCTGAAGCTTATAAAATCAGAAAAATATCATTAGCGCCATAATATAGTCAGCTTTGGTTATTGCGTTTATGAATAGGACCTCAGTAAACATGTTTGTATTGTTGCCTTTATGTATTTCTGTGTTTACATAATTATTATAAACAATAATTTCTGATAGGTAGAATTCCTTAAGACAGACAGAGTAGTTAAGAGGAGGGATTCAGTATTTATGTTGCTTGGGCACTAATACCAGCCTTTATATCTATCAGCGATATGACTGTTGCCAAAATCCTCATATTTTCTATGCCTTAGTTTCCCAGGTATAAATGAAGGTAATAATACTTTATTGTGAGGATCATATGAATTTAAGTGCATATTAAAAACAGTCAAATGCTAATTATGTCTCCCTGTGTTGTTTTCAGATACTAACTGGTTTATTTTATAATACTGCATCATTTAAAAATACAGAGTAAACCCTTTAAATTGTTCCTGTTGTGTTTGCACATAAAGCCTATATAATGGCATTATGTCGAAGGAGCTCTTCCATTTGCTATCTTATTGCTGTGTAAACTGTAATTGCTAACATATATTTCTCCTTCTCTCCTTCACTTAATTCATTTACTCTGGGTTTTTTTTTTAAGAGGACTAGTGGAAATGAAAGGCTTTCTTCAAATAATTTAATAATTTCATTCTTTTCAGTCTTGTCTCTCTTGCTTTGAAATCTGTGTAGTAAAAGTTTAGTTTCCTGAGGTCATTTATTTCTTGTTCCTTCCCTAGTGTTTCAGAGAGTTGCTGAGGCAAGAACTGTCTTCAGTAAAGAGCTGCTTAGCTGAGTGATTGAGAAGAGGAGGAATTAGAGAACAGAAGAGATAGGAAAGGGCTGTAGAGGAGAAAGCCAACAGCATGAGAGAGGGGACTGGCAGAGCTCCCCGTCTTCTTCAGTTCCTTCTCCTTCCCGCTGTTTGCTTTTCTCCTCCATGGCCTTTTCCTGCTGGCCCATTCTGTTTATTTTACTTCTTTGTTTTCTTTTTCATTATCCGAATATAGTGATACATTTTCAAGCCTACGTAGTTTTTCACTACTTGGTTCAGTCTACAGATGAAGATTTGAAAATGAGGTTTTTATTTGATTCATTGAGATTTCAATTTTCAGCATCACTGTTTGGTTCTGCTTCAGAATCTCATTATCGAATTGCTCTTTACTATTCTGATGTTGCGTGGCCAGCTTATTTGTTATTTTGAATTAAGAGTCTGTGGTTCTGATTAGATGGGAATGAAGAATTAGTTGCGATTAATTACATACCAGAGCTACTAAAGCAAAATTTTGCTTTGCTGGGATACTTGATGCTGGTCAGCTAGAGCTGAGAAATTAGCAGTGTTTAAGAAGAGACCAGCATCACTGAAATAAAATCTTCTGGGAAGTGATTCCTTAGAGCATAGAGAAGCTGTGTTCCAGAGGCAACCAAGGTTGTACCTCATGCTGGCAGCAGGACTCGGTAATGTGTAAGAGTCACCGAGGTGGTACTAGTTTTGGAGGGATGAAGGGGTCATGGAGAGCAGCTGAGGCTGGGCACTGTGAGAGACCAGGAGAGGCCATTGGTGAAGGTGCAGCCTCAGTGGCAGGTGAAGGCCCAGGACTGAAGGGGTCAGCAAAAAAGTTGAGGCTTGGCACCATGAAGAGAACCTATGAGAAGTTATTGGTGAAAGTGCAGCCCATTTGCAGCAAGGGACCCCCACATTTTAGAGATGCCAGAACCATCAGGAACAGCAGCAGCAGTGGAGTGGAGGCAGCCAGTGCCTTGAAGACAAGCTGTGTGTGCTGCGGAGAGCGGAGCTGGTGAAGCGACTCCTTTGCTGGAGTCTAGAAGATCGAGAGTGGAGCCCAGATAGTTGGATATTGAGTTATTTATACTCTTGGAGTTTAGTTTTGTTTGGTTAAGATTGTGACAGTGCCCTGGTTCTTCTGTCTTAAAGAAGATATTTAATTTTGATTTTAAAGGAGTCCACAGATAAAAGATTTGGACTTTTAAAAGAGATTGGATATTTTAAAAAGATTGAAATTTTAAGGACTGAAATTTTAAGATTGGAGGACTTTTAAAATTATTCATGATTTTAATGTGAGATCTTGGGGTTGAATAAGAAAGGAAAGGATGTGGCTTACTAGTGATGTGTTTGTGTCAAGTTGAAAAGAGGTTGGTTGTACTGGCTGTTTTTGTGTGCCAGTTTGACACAAGTTAGAGTCATCAGAGGAAGGAGCCTCAGCTGAGGAAATGCCTCCTTGAGACCCAGCTGCAAGGTATTTTGTCAATCAGTATCATTGAGGGAGAGCACAGCCCATGGAGGGTGGTGCCATCTCTGGGCTGCTGGTGCTGGATTCTAAAAGAAGGTGGGATCGCTTCTTGGCTTTTTGGCTAAGATCAAGTGTAAAAGAAGGTGGGCTGAGCAAAATATGACAAGCAAGTCAGTAAGCAACTCCTCTCCATGGCCTCTGGATCAGCTCCTGCTTTTGGGATTCTGCCCTGACTTCCTTCAGTGATGAATAGCAATGTTGAAACATAAGCCAAATAAACCCTTTCTTCCCCAGCTTGCTTTTTGGTCATTCATGGTTTTTTGTTTGTTTGTTTGTTTTTCCCCAGTGATGGAAACCCTAAGACATGTGGTATAGATGCTTGAGGCCAAATCAGGTCCCTAAGTGTCTTTACCTTCTGACCATCTTGCTAGCCCATTCTGTTTATTTCACATTTTTTTTATTATTTGAATATAGTGACATTTTTTCAGGCCTAAGTAGTCTTTCACTATTTGATCAGTCTATAGATGAAGATTTGAGTTTTTTTTTAATTGATTAATTGAGCCTTTAATTTTCAGTATAACTGTTTGGTTCTTTTTCAGACTCTCATTATTGAATTTTTCTTTCATGTTCTATATTACGTTCCTTAATTTAGCCAACTGTTTATTTGTATCCTCTTTAAATTCATCGATCATTTTTAAAATCAGTCTTTTGAATTCTTTGTCTACATATCATTCATTTAGACATTTTTGGAGTAATTTGCTAGGAAATCAGGGACTTTTGGAGAACAATTGCTGGCTGTTTTTCATGTTTCTTGAGCTCCTATGTTTCAATTTATACATCTGTAGGGATGTATAAATGTAAAGAATGTCTCTCTTACACTTTTTAATATTATTAGCATACATTATAATATTGCAGTTTGGCTATGGTATTTCATATATGTATGATGCTATAAAGAATGGTCTACAGATGGGGCACTCTGGCTCATTCCCCCTAGTTAGCAGGGTGTGCTCCAGGGAATGGGAACGGTCCATATGAAATCCTTTGTAGGTGCCATTCCTCCTGTCATTTGTCACTCTGCTGTTGCTAAGTGCTGAATGTCTGGGCACAGGACTCTAGGCTCCTTCCAGTTGTGGTTTCTTGGAGCTGGATTATCAGCTGGGGGTTGTGGTGTCCTTTTTCTGTAATATCTGGAAAGGTTTGCCTGTGATTAGGTTGTGGGTAGAGAATAAAGGACAGTTTCTCTCAACTGGGATGGTGTGTATGTAGCTAGCAGCAAAGCCCCCTCCCCAAAGTCTTTTAGGTGCTGGCCTTAATCCCCAGTGGTGTCGAAGAAGGAGAAAAGCAAGGCACAGTGACTATATAGGTTCAAATCAGATATAGAAATACTGTGAACCAGTTAAGAACAACAGCTACATTACTGATGAGAATAGAAAAGAAGGGCAAAAATAATATAGACTCTGAAATGTTAAAAATTAATAAAATAAAGCAAGGGAAGAAATGGATGAATGATTTGTGAGAGAGGATATGTCAAAGAGAGGGAAATCCAATGAAAAATAAATGCAATTATATAAAAAGCAAGAAAAATATTGAACAACATGAAAGTGTTTGAAAGTCCTGTTGTCAAGGTTCTTGGACTGGAGAAGCTTCTGGACTATTTAATGATTAGAAACTAGTGGGTGGCGTGGCAGGCCTGCTGTAGGAGTTCTGCTGGGCATTCCGAGGACATGCTGTTTTAGCAGGGTTGTCTGTGTTCACTCACTCCATAGGCTTACCGTATTTGTACCACACCCCCATTATCTTGAGATGTTCATGGACTAGTCACTCCAGAGACCCCCTAATTTGTGAACCAGAGGGCATGGTAATGTCCAAAATATAGCACAATGCCTGAAGGATTGGGGGAGGAAGTGCTGGCTGGGCTCATGTAGGGAACGGGGAGAGCATAGGAATGTGGCAGCCTTCCTTTCCTTCCTCAGATGTGGCCAAGCTGACACGGGCAGTTGCTGTCGTTCTTTGAGAGCAGGACACCCTGACTACTGTTCCCTCTGTGGTTCTTACGCTGTTGTTTAAACCTTTTCTTAGTGTTATAACAGAATCGCCCCCATTCTACAGCTGTGACTCATGGCATCCCCCACTTTGTCCCCGCCACATGGCAGAGTAGCCCCAGGGTCTCTGACTTGTGAGTGTCTTAAGTGTTGTGATACCCTAAGTAGTTTGGTTCCTAAGGATAGGCGCCTTCTCCAGATAGCACCTCATGGCCACACTGAGAGATGGACATATGCAGATGAGCGTATTTAGTGTGTTATTGATAATGGTGATTCCTCCTTCCAGGTTGAAGACTTTAGCAGAAGAGCTCACGCAGACACAGCAGATGCTTTTACACAAGGAGGAGGCTGTCCTGGAGCTGGAGAAGAGGATTGAAGAATCTTCTGAGACCTGTGAAAAGAAGTCTGAGTGAGTACCAGAGATACCGTCTGAAAGAGTAGAGGCAAAAGCATGTATTTTTACAAAAATATTTGCTACATGCTGGTGTGGACATGGCATTTCCAGAAATGGAAGTTTTCATTTTAAAACAGTGGAATTTTGTGTAGTTATATCATATGACTCTGGAGAGCTGTTTTTGTATTTTTGTAAAATGTGATATTTAACAGCTAGTTTCATGTGAACTTGATACAAACTAGGTCGTCTGAGAAGAGGCAGCCTCAGCTGCGATTGATCTGTGGACAAGCCTGTGGTGCATTTTCTTGATTAGTGATTGATGTGCAATGGCCTATCTCTCTGGACAGTGCCACCCCTGGGCTACTGGGCCAGGGTACAATAAGAAAACAAACTGAGGAAGTCATGCAGAACAAGCCTATAAGCAGTGTCCCTCCATGGCCTCTGCTTCAGCTTCTGCCTCCAGGTTTCTGCCCTGCTTGAGTTCCTTCCCTGACTTTCCTCAGTGGTGGACTGTTACCTGGAAATGTCAGCAGAATAAACCCTTTCTTCTCCAAGATTTAGGTCATGGTGTTTCATCACAGCATTAGAAACCCTAACTAAGGCAGATGTGTTCTAGAAAAGTGGTATTGGATTTGTAAATAAAATGCCACGATCAGATGTCTTAATGTTTTAACAGTTTGCATTACCTCATGAAGAATCCTTCGTTAAAAGCTATCTTTGTTGCTCAACATTTATTTTTTTGTGAGACTTATTGTAAATCCCTTTTTAAAAGGATTCAGAGAAGTGTTATCTAGAAATTGACTGCTGTTGTGTTAAAAGGCATCAAATAAATTAATTAGAACACACTGATCTACTTTGCATATAGTAAACAGCTTCAGTTTACTTTGTTATTCTTGCTTTCCTGGTATTTGTCTAGCTGATTTCTGACTTGAAATATCGTTCTGGGTCTTTTGATTTTACTTGTATTAATACATTTCTGTCTTTTAGTAGATGTGTGTACTCCACTATGCATGCAGGTCCAAGAGTGTGTGTTAGATATGTGTACTTTCTTATGTGTGAAGGTACAAGAATTTGTGTATCTGTATCTTTTGGTAGATGTGTGTACTTGCTTATGTGTGCAGGTACAAGAACATGTATGGAGACCATAATTCGATGTCAAGTGTCTGCCTCAATTGCTCTCCACCTTATTTTTAAAGGCAGGGTCTCATTGGGTTGGAACTTGATGATTCGACTAGATTGGCTGGCTAACAACCCCCAGGATTCTCTTGGGTTCCTATCAGTGGGGTTATAGGTGCTTGTATTCTTGGCTTTTGAGGCTTTTAATTTTTAATTTATTTTTTAGTACTTGTATGCATGAATACTATTTGTTTAGATTATATCCACATTTGTTGCTTCCTCTCTGACTCTTCCCACACCACCCTATCCACCCAACTTCCTGTTTTGTCGTTCTTTTTCTTCTTCTCTCCTTCTCTCCCTCACATCCACTCACTTAGTGCTGTTGGTATGCACATGGGTGTAGGGCGCCACCCAGTGGAACATGGACATCCTACCACACTGCTGCCAAAGACTGCCTTCTTCCCTTCTCTGCAGTTGCCCATGGCTCCTTACCGAGCTGGAATATTGACAGGCTTGACCTTGTGCAGGTCTCGTGCTGTCAGCCATGGCTGCAGTGATGTCATGAGTGTCCAAAGGACGTAACTTTGCAGCCGTCTTTCCTGACTTCTCACTCCCTCTTCTACAGTATTCTCTGAGCGTTGTGGAGAAAAGTGTGTGACCTAGATGTCCCATTGAGGACTGAGCATGGTCAAATAATTCTGCATACTTTGGCTCGTTCATCTCTCTATAACAGCCATCCACTGCATAATGAAGCTTCTCTGGTGAAGGGTGAGAATTATACTCATCTATGAGTATAAGGATACAAATTTAGGGGTCATTTTAATTCTATGCCTGTTGTAGACTAATAGTAGTCATGCCTGTAACCTCATCAGCCACAGGTTCTTGCTCTTGATCATAGTTCCAGGGATGAGTTTCCTTCTGTAGGACAGGCCTTAATTAAGTATGATTAAAAGTTGTTGATTACCCCCGTAGCATTCCTGCCACTGTTGCTCACATGGTTATCATGTCATGTCGGTCATTCCTGTAGTTTGCACAGTTCAGGGCTGTGTCAGACTGTTGATAGGTTTTCTTCTCTAATAGCCCACAATGTATGATATTGCACTGTGAAACCTAGCCAGCAGAGAGGAAGCTTTTAGGTCAGTACCAGCCTGATTTCTTCATGTTCTGTGATCAGGGTAGGTGTTGTCTTTAGCAATAGGGTCATATTATCAAGTTTCAGTGGGGTCACCAAGAGCAATAGCAATAACCTGTTTCTGTGGGTGCTGGGGATTGAACTCAGGCACTCATGCTTCTGTGTAAGAACTTTACTAATTGAGCCATCTTCCTAAGCCCGTTGTCTTTTATTTTATTCTCTCTCTCTCTCTCTCTCTCTCTCTCTCTCTCTCTCTCTCTCTGTGTGTGTGTGTGTGTGTGTGTGTGTGTGTATGCAAGCATATATGTGTATGCATGTGGAACCAAAGTTTAATGTTGGTTATCCTGAATATCTCCATTTCATTTGTGGGTTTTTTGTTTTTTGAGTCAGGCTCTTTCACTGAACCACCCTGAGCCCATTCATTTGGGTATGCTGGCTGACTGTTTGCTCCAGGAAACCTGGCTTCCTGCGTCCTATCTAGCACTGAGGCGACAGATGCACAGAAAGACACCTGGCTTTTCTGTGGGTGCTTGGGATTGGAGCTCATGCTCTGATGATTGCACGGGGGCACTGGAACAGCGGCACCCCTCCTTAGCTTGTGCATTATCCTTTTTACTGATCGTCAGCTGTGATGACGGGAAACCACAGCATGGTTGTCTGCGTGGTCTTCCCAGTTGTGACTGCAACATAAACTTATCGCCCTCAAACTCTCACTACTGCTTTCAGATTTCAAAGCTCTCTAGGGTTTTGTGATGTGTTAGGTCTCTCTTATCTACACTAGCTTTTATTTTTTGGTATAACTTCTCAGATATTCTCTACTTCGATTAAATTTTCAATCTTCCCACTTCCTTTATTATAGTCAGCTGATGGACTTCTGTATCACAGAAAACTCCCAAGCATTAACTAGATACCTGAAATCCACATCTTTCCCCTCAGCACCCATTCTAATGCCCATCTTTTTTTTTTTTTACAGTACAATGTACCCTTCTGTGTCATTTCTTGTGAGATTTTTAAAGTATTGCCATCTTTTATTTTCTCAGAAAATTTGTGTTATTTATATATTTACCTTTTCCTTCCTTCCAGCTGGGTCCTTATACTCACCTTTTCAGCGTTGACCCCAGAACCACCAGTCTTCAGGTCTCCTCCCCCACCCCCGTTCCACCTCCCATCTCTGAGGTGCTGGGTACAGTACTCAGCTGACATCTGCCAGGCAATGCTGCGCTGTCACACAGTTGTACCCCAACTGCTGAAGGCCCCTCCCCTTGTCATTATTTCCCCCATTTTACTCTTTGCTTTCTCGTTTCTGAGTTTGAACTCGTTCTAGGAGCAGTTCCCATCCATTTCCCAATTACCACTTAGTTTTCAACCCACATAGATCTAGCCTTTGTCCCATTATTGCAGAAATAAGAATCTTAGCGATTACCCATGCCTGGAGTAGGGCAGCTGTCTTTCCGGACCACTGAATCATGTCTGACTTGGCTGCTGTCTTTCCTGTGCTTTTTGAAGTCTCCGATCACCAAATTGCTTTTTCTGTACAAAAATACCCACCTAGAAAGAAGTACAAGCTTTCTCCGAAATCTTTCCTCATAACAGTTTTGCCCAAGTTTGGGTGGGACTGGCTGTTCTGTTTTGCAGTCTTTATTCACCTTGGACCATGAGAGTTTTCTTTTCTTTGGCCTGGATCAGGTTTTTCTGCATTGTTTCCTCTTTCCTCCTTGGCACCCCTATTTTGTTTTTCTCTTTGAAAATCTCACCACCTCCAGTCCGCCGTGCTGGCGCCTCGTCACACGTGCGTGAGGGCGTGTGCCGTTAATGGCCCCGCAGCATTGGCTGCTGTAGAGCCAGGGCGTTCAGCCGCGGCTTCGGACTCTAGCAGCTCAGCCCAGGGGCCGTACATGGTACATGCCAGTCCTGTACCTAGGCCGGTCTAGGTAGGGCACCCTGGAACAGAGGTACCCACAGGTAGGGGTGGAGCTGGCCTCGGATTTCACCCAACTTCCGCAGAGGCCCCACAGGCTAATAGAACTTTTAGGAGTTAGAAGGGTTAGCGTGACCGGGTTTTCAGGGCTGAGCCGTAGTGAGCCCAGTCATGTAGCCTTCATTATCCTAAGTTCTTACTGTTAGCTTCAGCGTACAGTATTAAAATTTGAAGTCTATTTAGGTGCCCAAACAGTTACTGCTCACTGTCCTTGACTGAGAAATTGGTGGACTGAACCTTGCCTCCATATTTATATGTTAAAATATTTTATTAAACAAATGTTCTGAATAGGATTGTATGGTGATACATTTATGTTTTTTCCCGTAATATTTCAATATTTCCTGGGCAAGTCCTTAGTTTGTGCCATCCACATCTATCTGTCTCTCATCTATCCATCCCTTCATCTACATATAGATATAGATATCTCTTTCTATAAATACACATATGTAATGAGGATACATTTTGCTCTAGTTTAAAACATGAACTTATAATTATTTTTAAGGCTAGGGGTGTTCATAAATGTCCAACCTGGGCTACATAGTGAGACTGTATATTTTAGAGAGAGCATTATTTTTATTTTTGTAATATTTTATTATCTTCAGATACTTTGTTACTTAAAACTAATAAAACAATAAAATTATATTTTTTCAGAAATACTAAAATGTTTATTATATGTTCATATTCTTAAATTATTTCTAAATAATAGAATCCTATTGAATTTTTACTTAATAGAATTATTATTTTGTCCTCATCATATAGTATGGATGGTCATAAATTAAATCTTTGAATTAGATATGTGTCTCTAACTTCCCAGTAGCCACAGCTTCTAAAGGGAAGATTTAAAAGTTTATCCCTAGATTATGTTGGAACCAGGAGTGCCTGGGACCCAGGCACTGCCAGGTAGCAGTTGTGCTGTATTGTTTGATTTGTTTCTTACTTTCAGAACCAGGTAGCCGTGGTTATAAGCTGTATGCAGAGACCTAGGCTGTAGGTTTTTCATGCCATGCCGCCCTCTCCGTGTGCCCTTGACGGTAGCCATCCTGTCCTCTGCCCTCTCCGTGTGTCCTTGACGGTAGCCATCCTGACCTCTGCCCTCTCCATGTGCCCTTGACGGTAGCTCTCTGCCCTCTCCGTGTGTCCTTGACGGTAGCCATCCTGTCCTCTGCCCTCTCCGTGTGCCCTTGACGGTAGCTCTCTGCCCTCTCCGTGTGTCCTTGACGGTAGCCATCCTGTCCTCTGCCCTCTCCGTGTGTCCTTGATGGTAGCCATCCTGTCCTCTGCCCTCTCCGTGTGTCCTTGATGGTAGCCATCCTATTCTCTGCCCTCTCCGTGTGCCCTTGACGGTAGCCATCCTGTCCTCTGCCCTCTCCGTGTGTCCTTGACGGTAGCCATCCTGTCCTCTGCCCTCTCCGTGTGCCCTTGACGGTAGCTCTCTGCCCTCTCCGTGTGTCCTTGACGGTAGCCATCCTGTCCTCTGCCCTCTCCGTGTGTCCTTGATGGTAGCCATCCTGTCCTCTGCCCTCTCCGTGTGTCCTTGACGGTAGCCATCCTATTCTCTGCCCTCTCCGTGTGTCCTTGACGGTAGCCATCCTATTCTCTGCCCTCTCCGTGTGTCCTTGACGGTAGCCATCCTATTCTCTGCCCTCTCCGTGTGTCCTTGACGGTAGCCATCCTATTCTCTGCCCTCTCCGTGTGTCCTTGACGGTAGCCATCCTATTCTCTGCCCTCTTTGTGTGTCCTTGACGGTAGCCATCTTGTCCTCTGCCCTCTCCGTGTGTCCTTGCCTGTCCTCTGTCCTCTCCATGTGCCCCTGACTGTAGCCATCCTACCCTCTGCCCTGTGTGTCCTCGATTGCTACAAATCCACCTTCCTTTGTGCAGATTTGATTTCTTACCCAACTGGAGTCATATCGTGTGTAACTTTCGGGGACTGACTTTTAACTCATAGCATAATTCCTTGGAGTTCCTTCAGGAGCTTTCATTCTTTCTTGAGCTGCTGTAGTAAACACAATAAAAACAGCACATACTTCCTCTCTCCCAGTTCTGGGTACCAAAGGTTGAAATATGGTAAAACATTAATGGTTTTCATTAAGGCCATTCTTAAAGACATCTGATAATTGTAATATTTATTTTCATAATGACTAATGTAGATCATCCTTTCATGTTCCATTTTGTCATCTTTGTAGCTTTTATATTGAAATACCTGTCTAATTTTTTCTTATTCTTTGATTGCTTGCTTTATTTTTATTATGGTTGAATTATTTTTTATTTTTTTGAGATTATAACTTAATTATATTATTCACCCTCCCCTTTTCTTCCCTCAGAACCCTCCCTTTTAATCTCTTTTAAATTCATGGCCTCTTTTTTTCATTATTTTTTCTTACATGAATATATATATATATATTCATATATATATTCCTAAACATAACCACTCAGTCTGTATAATATTTATTATGTGTATATGTTTTCAGGCTTGATATTTGGTATTGGTCAACCAACTGGTGTGCTCTTCCCTAGGGAAGACTATTTCGTCTATTCATAACAACATTGTTTAGTTGCCTGTAGTTCTTTGTATAGGATTGAAACCTCATGGGATTTTACCTTAGTTGACTTTGGTGTGTCTATTATTGTCCTTGTTCAGTTCATGTTGGTGAGAATTTATGGGTGTAGCTTCTGTCACTACTAGGAGACACAATCTTACCGTGAACTCCCCGATCCTCTGGCTCTTGTCTTCTTTTTATCCTCTTCCCCAGTAGTCCATGAGCTTTAGGACTGTAAGTGTTTTGTAGACACTTATCCATTCATACTTGACTCCATGACTCTGCATTTTTATTGGTTGTAGTTTTCAGTAATGGTATCTGTTTGTTCCAAAAAGAAGTTTCTTTGATGAGGGGTGAGGCCTGCACTTATCTGAGGGTATAAGGGCAAATATTTAGAATATAATTAGGGATTGTGTTGGTTTAGTAAAGTGTTGGTTGTAGGTTCTCTTCCAAGATCTATTGCTTCACTCACCCAGGGTAGTTGACTAGGTTTCCAGGACCACTCATGGTTTCCCTCTTATTGAACGGATCTTAAGTCCAGTTAGAGAACTGTTGATTACTGCCAAGGTATGCATGCTGCTAGTGCACTCTTGGGATTATTGTACCATGCTGGTTGTTGATATAGTTCATCAGCATTAGAGATTGGTAAGATTTGGTTGTCCCACTCCTTTGGAAGCTTGCCTCGTGCCTTCTGGTACCCTGAGAGCTAGTCTTCAGGGAAAAAACATTCAAATCAGTTCCATCTCAGGGACCTCTGGGCCCTGGTCTGAAGTGCATTTTGCGGGGCAATCAAGGGCAGTAAAAGTTGTATGTTTTCAGAGTCTGGACAACCCTGAGCAGCAACTAAAAAGAGGGCTTCTTGTGCCTGGTGTTAGTTTTTGTTAGGTGGTCTTCAGCTTTTGGAGGAAGCACGGTCAGCCCAGATGTGGAAATTTTGTTTAAGCTATACATATGTATTCATAGACTGATGTGTATTATAGTTTTTTTTAGGTAGTTGATAATGACTTTTTCAGACATCTTTACTATTGTTTTGTCCTCTTTTAGTGATTAGTATACCCAGTGGAATTTTATTAGAGAAAATTAATTTTTCCTTTACAAATGGGTACCAATTACAGATTGCTTTTTAGCTATGGATGAACCCATGTTCATTTCCTTCTATCTGGGACCCTGTCTGGCTTGAATCTTTGCAACACTGCACCTGCTACCCTAGTTTGTGTGAGTTTGTTTCTATAAATACACTGATAATTTTCTTTATTTGGCTATTTGGTTAACGTTTACTTTTTGCAACTATTATCATATATATATAATTTTATATTTCTTTATTGCAAAGCTTATTTTCCTTTCTCTTACCCTGGACAATTGCGCTTTTTTAGCTATTTTCTTTTGCATTTTCTGTTAGCCTTTATGTAAAACTACTGATCCAGTGCTTTTAGAGTATTGCTTTTAAGTATATCAAATAATTTTGTATACATGTGATAAGTCATTTTTTTGAATAATCTTCTAGGTGTATGAAAATATACTTTGATATCTTTCTTGTTATATTTAGAATTATTTCTTGTACTGTTGTCCTAGCCATTGTGGTTTCTGTGGTACTTTGCTTTTGGTCTGTGTGTTAGGAAGCACAAAGTTTAAAAAATATAATAAGTGTAATCTTTTCCTAGGTCTCCTAATATTTTTCTCACAAAATGATTGTCTTAATAATTAACATTCTCTGAATGGATTTTCTGAGAAGCAGAAGTGCCAACTTATTGCAAAAAATCAATTACCAACTAATACGCAAGCCAGCATGAATTTACCAAGAAATCTATATAGATTTTAAAAATAGGTCACAGATTTGCTGAATGATGATGATGTTCATGGTAATTATCACTTATTAAATTCTGCTGTTTAGAGCAGTCTGTCTTCTGGACATTTCTAGGTCTCCTGCAAATGCTCTTTAAGTTCTGTTTTTCCCATCTTCACATTGTTCCCTGAAATTCCTTGAAGAGACCAACATTTTTACTATGGTCGCTGAGGTTGTGCCCTGCTCAGTTAGATTGGGACTGAGCTCTCAAAACAGCACAAGATGCAACTCAATAGCTTAGTGTGGTTATATCTCTCTGTATTTATTCTGGTGATGTTCTGACTTTAAGTTGGTTACCTTGCTATCTAATTCTGGAGCATTCCCTGATTTCCAATCTGTCGTCCGGTACTACTAATAATTTACCACAGTGCACTTATTTTTAAGGTATCATATACTTATGGGGTAGACATTCCTGCCAGCATGGTTTCTTCTTTCTGGTGGCCTTGTTTTGGGCCCATAAACTTGTAGTTCCTATTGTGTAAGCCCTGAGTACAAGTTCCCTAAAGAAGGAGTGGGGAGATTTGTAGACTTGGCTCACATTGTCATGATCAAGTCGGAATTCCTGCTGTACCAACTTTCCAGACTTAAAACACACACTTTACAAAATACCCACAGTTCAGTGTGAATTAACTAATTAATAAAATTAATTTTATTAATTTTACCCAGGAACATGTCATACTTTAAGTATTTAATTCTTGAGATTTGAAATTAGCGTAATATTTTAAGTTTGTCATTTCTTTTTCAGTCAGTTTACGGTCTGAATTCCTAAACTGAGCTCTTGGTGAGGTAGGTAGTTTATGTCTAAAAGATAATAGGTGCCATTATTTATTTGAAAGTGTCTTGAATGACCTATTTCCATTTTCTTAATCCTGCTATTAAAATCTGTTTTTATTTCTTTATGATTCTGAAGGAGTTCTGTAGAGGAAAATGAAAGCTTACAAAAGCATAATCTGCACACACATAGAAACATGCATATACACACGTACGCACACATGGACATATAGGCACACATATAGACACACATAGACACAAGCACACAAATATACACACAGACACATGTAGACACACACAGACACATACATACACATATCCACACAGACACACACATCTCGGCACGCATACACACATGTCCTCACAGACACACACATATACACACATACACATATACAGATAAACACAGACCCAGACACACACACACACACCACACACTTTTCCATTAATGCTTTTACTTCTTGAGTTGAAATAATGTCTGTTTATTTTATTCTGTTGTAGCATTGTGCTTCTTCTGGGGCAAAAACAGGCACTTGAAGAGTTGAAACAGTCAGTCCAGCAGTTGAGATGCACTGAGGCAAAGTGTGCAGCACAGAAAGAATTATTGGAGCAAAAAGTACAAGAAAATGATGGGAAAGAACCGCCTCCTGTGGTGAATTACGAAGAAGATGCGCGATCGGTCACATCAATGGTAAGCTCTGGAGCCATCTGGTGCTGACAGAGAAGTGTCTAGGTAATAAGTGAGCACAAAACTAATTCTGGTTTGCTGCAACAAACATCACTCTTGTTAGCATGCAGGTTCTATTGAACTTATTTGTAAGTGCAGAATAGGCTTAGCTGTCAGTCACCTCAGGTCACCTGGAGAGCACTTCAGGAGCCTCCCATACAGTCAGAGCACAGAGAGCGCTTCTCTTGCCTTCAAAGCTGAAAGGACAGATTGCAGTTGTTTTTATTCCTGGGAGGCAGCAGGAAGGTAGGGTATCATTTAAAGATGGAAGTAAGAATGAGGAGAAAGCCGTGCCTTGACTGTTTCTCCACAACCATGAACCTGTTTGCCTTAGATTGACAGTGTGTTTGCTTTCTTCCACAGTACAAAAGAATGACCTAGCTTAAATTCTTTTATTCCTAGTTTGTTCAGATTTGCAAACTTAAAATTCTGTTTAATTTTAGTTTGACTATCTGCTCAATGGCTAGTATATATTACTTTATCTGTCTGTCCATTTCTATTAGATCTATCATCTTTCTTTCTTTCTTTCTTTCTTTCTTTCTTTCTTCCTATCTATCTATCTATCTATCTACCTACCTACCTACCTACCTACCTTTCTTTTCTTCCCTCATCTGTGTGATTTGTAACCAGTGACACTGCCTTGCTTGTTTAAAATAGTTCTGCCCAGTTTATTGTCTTCAGTAACTGAAATAGTGATTATAAATATCTTATATACACATTGAAACAATGCCTTTACTAAATTTTTATTTAAAAATTAAAATTTTGTCATGTGGTGGTGGTATGCCCTTCTATCCATTTCTTGCTTGAGAGACTCCAGCAAGATGACGGCAAGTGTAGACATCATGGGACCATAGAGAACTCCATCTCAAATCAAAGTAAACCAAAATGAAAATTTAGTAAGGCCTTCATTGAAAAATTTATCAGGTTTTTCAAAAGGAACACTGTATATTATATGTAGTTTAAAATAATAGGTTAATATTTTACAAATTACTTAAGCAATCCCACAAATTGATGCCAATGAAATGTTTTGCAGTATATTTATGAGGAAGGAATACTTCTGGCACAGCTCTTGTTGTTAATACTCCCACTTGTTTGGTGAAATTTTTGCATTCTTTGACTTTTTTCAGCTAATAGTTATATATTTTCAATAGTTGAAAATAAAAATTATAAGGCTTAAATGTTTTTTCCCCAAAATGGCTACTTAAACATTGTTTTATGAATAGCGTTATAAAATAAGTTAGACTGTGTGTGAGGGGAAAGGGGCCTAAGGGGCAGAAGGACAAGAAGGGACATGGGGGAAAAGAAGAGACAGCGTCATCTTTTCTCTCGTGTGCTAGATCCAGATTTAAATACAGCTGTTGTCTGTCTGTCTATCTTTCTATCTATCATTTATCTGTACCTTTCTGCCTACCTATCTATATACCTGTTTCTCCTCCTCTCACCCTCCCTTCTGAAAGTAGGAGACATTAACACAAAGGATACTGTTTGGGCAACGCAAAGGGCGGCTTCTTGGTGAACCGAGGACTTATTTGTATTGTGCCTCAGTTCTGGCTCTTGAGATGAGAACACTGTAGCGTCTGAGTCAGGTTAGAAGTGTGCACTCTGTGTAGTCCCCCTTGCAGAGTTCTGCAAACATCAGAATTTTCTGATATCCAAGTAAATACAAGCTGCTGGCGTTACTGTTTGTATATCAAACGCTTCTCTTTAGTTTGTTTATTATTGTCTAGTCTAGTAGTGAATATAATAAGCTTTATTTCAGTATCTGTTGAATTGAGGAATTATACTTCCTTTTCCTCCCAGATTACCTGTTTGTTTTATTTCATGACAGCTTTGGACCAAATCCAGTGACCTTGATGAAAGGCCACTTGGATGTCAGGTCTGTGTGTCTAGAGATGAAGGCGGCCACAGAAGGCCTTCCTACTTCTAAAACATGTTTCGCTCTCCTGTAAGAGAACTGGCTTCACTTTGATATTTCTGAAATTAACGTTTCGTGTAAAGCCCTTTGATAGACGGAGACACACATGTATTTATCTTCTCTGCACATATTGAGTAGCTGTTCTTAGTTGAACAGCAGTAGTAACAGTCTTGTTATGCTACATTTTAGCCTGTGAAATATCTGACTTCATAAGAATTGCCTGTCACTAGGACTCAGTAGTGTTTTTCACAGCAGTGTCTGATCTTTCAGTCTTATGCCTAGAACACTAAACGGCTTTAAGATTAATCAAAGCCTATTGACAGTGCTGTTGAGAGTTTCATCTTTATCATTGTGAGGTACATTTTCTTTCAATCATTGATATAAATCTTCATTTTGAGCCTTGCTCACCGAATATGGTATACTGAGAAGAGTGCCAGACCAGGACTCAGAAGACTGAGTAGCTTTTCTGTCTGCGCTGTAAGTATAGTCAGGCTCCTTAAACTTCTGAGTTTTCCTTTCCATAGCTACTGAAAAGAGGTAATAAGTATAAATTTATTTTATATATTGAAAGCACTGTAAAATAAGTAGCTCTACTTTATTCTTTTTGAGAGTTGCATCTTAGTTCGTTTATGTGTTCGCTAGTATATACTCTCTGTAAGATTGAGTTAGATTTATGAAGGATTATGCTGTGTGTTCCTAACTGATAAAGCAAAAATCTCCTGTAATGCCTTTAAATAGTAGTATTTGCATGTGAGCTTGTACATGGCTCTGAGTTCCTTACTTATTCCCTAATTCTCTTCCTCAGAAGTAATTTTCTGGAGCATTATCTGCAAATAGAAGCATGCATGTAAATTATATGCCTCCTGTTCTTTTTTTTACATAAATGGAAGAACATACGATGCTGTCTGATGCATACACTTTGCTTGTTTTATGAAATGAATCATAGAATTCATTTTATAATAGTGTATACACAGTGATTCTTTTTCTACTTATTCATTCAATAAGTAGGTATTTATTGATGGTCAGGTGTTATGATGGTTGCTTTTAGTTTTCAACTTGATGTGATCTAGAAAATCCTGAGAAAAGACTCTCAATGACGGATTGTCTTCATTGGGTTGAACATGTCTGTGAGGGACGGTCTTAGATATTTGTTCTGGGGCAATCTGTCCTTTTGTGGCTGGCACCATTCCCTTGGAAGGGGTTCTTGGACTATATGAGTGGAAAGATTGAGCCAAGTAAGCTAGCAAACAAGTGAACGTGTGTGCATTCATGTCTCACTGCTGAGCGTGGACGTGGTGTGGCCAGCTCCCTCCAGCTCCCTCCAGCTCTCTGCAGTGTTCGGCAGTAATGGGCGAAGTCTGGACCCATGAGCAGAGCTAAGCCTCCTTTCTCCAGAGCTGCTTTCTGTGAGGACATTCTATCACAGCAAAAGAAGTGAAGCGAGAGCAGCCTCTTAGTGCCGGTGTGGAGCCGTACAGCACAGACACGAGCAAGAAACATCATTTCGTGTGCTTGTATTGGTTACTTTTCTGTTACTGTGAGGTAAAACCCATACGAAAGCAACACTGGGAGAAAAGGTTTGTTTTAGCTAGTAGTTCAAGAGAGGGAGTTCTTGGCAGGGAATGCATGGCAACAGAAGAGGAAGGCATGGACAGGAGCAGGAAGCTGCCTGGTCACATTCTCATCCTCACACAGGACTCCTGCAGAGTGAGCAGGAAGTGAGGCCAGGTATAAACCCTCAAAACAGTGTCACCACCTGGGGCCAGCTGTATGAGGTATGGGCCATTTCTCATTCAAACTACCATAGCACCGCCAGGGTCTTTTTCTCATTGGTAGAGACAACATATAAGCAATTAAACACAGAGTATGTCTCGGGGGAAGTTCTTTGGGAAAAATGCAGCAACTAGTGGCAGAAAATGGGTGTGAACAATGTGTGTGTAGAGAGGTCAAGGAAGACTCCCCTGAAAAAGTGGCATCTGTATAGAGATCAGAGGGGATAAAGGGGACAAATGAGACTGGATACAGTGACAGTGATCAAGGCAGAACTTTAGCTGTCATTGGAGAAGTTTAGTTCCTGTGAGTCACTAGGCTTAGTCTTTCCAAATAGTCCTGTTTTAGTTAATTGTCTCGTTTTTTTCTCTATTTGGTTCCTCTTAAAACATTAGGCGTAAATCGGGTGTGGTGAAGCCCTGTGATCCAGCGTCTAGGAGGCTGAGTCAGGAACACCGTGAGTCGAAGGCAGGCAGGTCTGCTTACATAGCAAGGTCCCCTCTCGCAGAACAACAGCAGCAACAAAGCAAAGTAAGCAAAATAAAAATCAAACAAAAACAAAAGATAGGCACGTTTGTTATGAAACCGAACACTGTTCTTATTCTGCAGCAAACTCTGTAGAAGATAAATTGCGTGGTACAAATTAAAGTTCAGTTTTGGAGGAAAAGGTTTCTTTTCAGCCCAGTCCTTTGTCTCATAGACATTAAAGAGAAATTAAGAAAGAAGACAAAGGAAAAATATACCTAAGTACTTGTACAGGAAATGGTGAGTGAAAGAAAGTTGCTAGAGCAAAGGGAGGAAGATAGGTGGTACAGAGAAGCAGAGAATGCTGAAGCTGGAGGTAGGTAAAGAAAATCTAATAGAGGCTGTGAGGACGAGGGCAAGGACAGCTGTGACTATAGAGTGCTCCTCGTTTCCTCTTCTCAGCCTCTTCTCCCACCTGTCTTGCTTGAGACCGGGCGCTATTTTACGACCCGTTTGTCTTCCCTCCTCTGCTCTCCAGGTTTTTGATTCTTATTAATCCCTCCCCACAAACTTTACTTTGTTACATTGTTAAACTGTAAGTGCAGAGGGTACGACTTTATAGGCAATAGGCACTGACTGTTTACAGTCTCAATTACAACTGTTAAACGTTATCAAAGGGTTTACTTACAGGTGTCAAAATTTTGCTTTATGGTTCAATATACTCTACCTCATGGCAACAATTTGTGAATTACGTATTTAAGAAAATTTAGTTGGTTTGGTTCAAGTTTTATATCAAGAAATAAATTGCTATTTT